TAGATGCACGGCAGCCATGTCGGACCTGGCTCACGTTTTCCTGAAGCATCTTCTTCGTGGACCGAAAACTGCGGACTATCTTCAAGCTGACCCCAATGTCTTGTGTGAAAGTTTCGAGCCGCTGCTGACTGACTTGGCCTGTAGGTTGCAAGGAGGTCGCGCCAGCAAGAAAAAACTCGAAGTGTCTTTGTTAAAAGCCTTTGGTCGCAGCATGAGCCCAGCTGAGTCGAAGTGCTTCGCAGAGCGTCTGCTGGCTGGCCTGGAACACATTTACAACAAGCGCAGGCAAGCCACCAGCGGAGCCAAACTTCAGCCACCTGTGCAAAGGATTGTGAAGGCGATGAGTAGCAGCTCTTTGGAGACGCTTTCGCCGGCAGCGATTGAGGGCCCCAAGATCGTTCCGTCGTCTTTGAGCCCTTCGCAAATCCGTGAGCAGTATGCGAAGCAGCTGTCCGCGTTGCCAGAAGTAGCTTCAGATATTGATGAGTCGGCTCCCTCCGCCAGCCCTGAGGCAGGTGTCGAGGCCATATGTGTGGAATCTTCTCAGGGCTCCTCCCTTTCTGAGATTTCTGGTTCCAGCATTAAGAAAAAGCCGGCGACCAAAAAGCGTCCAGCCAGCGCTAAAGAGAAGCCTAAGCGCAAGAAGCTTGCTGTGGCTGAAGATGGCCAGGCGGAGCTGCCAAAGATTTCTCATGATGAGGCTTGTGAAAGGATGCCGAATGGTTGTGGGCGCTGCCGCCGTGTGAAGGGGTGCACGCCATCCTGCTGGCGGAAGAAGGGATTGCAGCTTGTCCGCTGAGAGTGAAAGAAATCAGACTCTGCCAGGGCCTCATGCTTGGAAGTTGCTTGCAGCCATGCTTGGCATGCATATGGTTTGGAGGGAGCAGTTTTGTGGCTCAAGCTATATATAGTCGACATGTCTGCGCAGGAAGCTGCCCTGTTTGCTCGCGCCAACGAGCTGGAGGAGTGTGAGGCAATGGCCGCGCTTGACTTTGACTCCCCTAGGAACACAAACCGACTCACAGCCAAGCAACAGGGCCTTTTCTTCTTGAACATGGTCGCGCATCATAGTGTTTGCGCAGTATGCGCTTACACATTCTATGAAGGCTTCTTGGACCCGTTGCCTGTCAGCATGCATATTTTAAAATAGTAAGCATGCAGATCGTGAAAATGCATGCTAGCCAACTGGGCTGTCCCAGGCTGTCAAAGGCGCAGGCGATCGCCATTGCAAGTGACTGCAGATGCGATATCACGCAGCTCACTGAGTCTACTGAGCCGGGAGAGTGCCATCTACTGAATTTTGGCATTAGCAAGCGCTCCTAGTCTTGAAGCCTACAGGATATGGGAAAAAGCATGCGATGCAAAGATATGCGCAGGTTAACAGCATGTCGGGCAGTCATCATAGCATTTTTTTTTGGCTCGTTAGCAGAGACATGTGTGGCGCTACTAAAATTTTTAGGGTCCAAATCCTAAACCTTACATCCTAAAATTGGTGGATAAGTAGCGGGAGGGAAGCTATGAGGGCATCGCCGTGGCCAGGAACTTGGTCACTGCTGCTTGAGCAGATGTATCTCCATCTTGAAAAGCCCTTGACTGCATGCAGTTAGGCTTAATCCAGCAACACGACTGGTGCGAGGTCCTGGCCTTGCTTCGCGTGCGCGCAGCAGGCACACTTGCAGGGATTGCGTAAGCAACTTGATTCTGCAAACTGTTTGATGTGTAGGTTAGAGATTTTGGAAGCGTTGGATTTTTCTTGAAATTTGCGAGATAGTGCTTGCTGCAGACGTTTCCTTAAGCTGCTGCCTTGAGCACTGCTCGCTGCCAATGCGTGCAATGTCGATTGCCGTGACACCTCCTGCGAAGAAGAGAAAATTTGACCAGCCAACCCCGGAGGTTCAGAAAAGGTACTCTGACTCCACGCGGAAGAAGCAGCGTGAGCGATGGGAAACACAAAGAGCCCTTCAACTGCTTACGGCTTGGCGACTGGCCCTCCTCTACTCCGACAGCTCGGAGGAGGAACGAGAGGTACCGTCAGCGGATTCTGAGGAGCAACTTCGGATTCGGGTATTGGTACCGGCACCGGATTCCGAGGAGGAAGCTCGGATTCGGGAGTTATTCGAGGAAGCCGACAGAGCTTTCGAGGCAGATCGCCTTGCTGCAGCTGCTGAGCAAGCAGCCGTCCCTGAGTCTGATGACGAGACTTTGATCTTGGGGCAGCAGATAGAAGAGGCTATTAATTAAATTATCACTAGTTCGGGGGGAAGCGCCGCGAGAAAAAACGGCTTTGCAGCAGCGTTTAGTTTTGCAACAAGCAGCTCTGGAGCTTGAAAACGTTACGCCTAAATCCTTGTATAACTAAATCTTGATTTTTTCTGTCAACCCTAAGCCCCAGAGCTGCAAGCGTTACTTTGAGCTGAAAATCACAACCCTTTACCTTCCTGTCGTGCAATCTGCAGGCAGACTTTGTGGAGGAAACATTTTCTAGTCGAGCGAGGACATGGAAGGCATCCTTCTTTTTGCAGACTGCTCTGTTGCAAGGGTTGTTATAGATTCTGTTTTTGTGGGTGGTATTTAAGGAGGGCAATAGTGTCTTTGTGCTGTGCGTTCTTGCGTTTTTAGAAGTGTTTAGTAAACATGCGTTTATTTGACATGTGCTTTCGTAATATCATATAATCAGTTATCAGCGCAGATGCTGTCTTAGGAGGGTAGGATGCTGCGGTAAGTGGGAGGGAGGGAGGTAGCAGCCGAGGAAGTTTTGCGAGAAACAGTTGTCTAGTCCGAAGTCACACCCTAAAGCCTGAGAAGTGTAAAAGGAACGCCCTAAGCCTTAGACCCAACTAGTCGCTGAACACCCAAGTGCCCGCCAGGTCTCACTCTGCTCGAGACGTCTTCTTGGGGACATCTTACCGAGGACTGGAGTGCACGTTCTGCCTTGCCTAGCGTTGGAAGGAGGGACTGTGGCCGGATTACTGCATATTACGGATGGAAGATTGTGGCGCTATCATAAAAATGAGTAATCCGCCCTCTTCATTTGATCGCATTCGCTGTGGATGGAAGGAAGGTAGGATCTGAACGCAGAACATGTTACCTTGTGGCAGGGAGGCAGGAAGCAGCAATCTCGGCTTTCAAGCTTTCCTTTCGCGCCCACTGTGTCCTCCGCCGCCAGCATGGGTGACGAGCTAGTCTTCAATTTGAGAGACTTGAGCAATGAGGCGTTGCTCACGCTTGTGAGGCATGCGGAGAACATCCTCACCGAGCGCCAGAATCCTAAGGCGGGTGCAGCTAAAGCTGCTGAAGGCAAGGCGGGTCCAGCTAAAACTGCAGCAGGCAAGGCGGGTCCAGCTAAAGCTGCGGAAGGCAAGGCAGGTCCAGCTAAAGCCGCTGAAGGCAAGGCAGGTCCAGCTAAAGCTGCTGAAGGCAAGGCAGCTGCAGTCAAAGCACCAGCTGCCAAAAAAGGCATGAAAGCACCTCCACCGCCAGCCAAGCCTAGCACCTTCAAGCCCATGCCACCAGGAGCGGATGTGATAAATTTGGATCCTCCAGCAAAGAAGAACTAGGCCGCCCCCACCGCCTCCACCCCCTCAGGAAGCCCCGCTTCCTCCGCCTGCAGCAGTGCCTATCGAGCCGGCTATTCCTCCGCCTCCGCCCAAAGAAGCGGCCCATGCTCCACCTGCACCAGAGCCAAGAGTGCCGAAGCAGCCGGCCTATCCTCCGCCTCCAGCAGAGCCAAGAGTGCCAAAACAGCCAGCTTATCCTCCACCACAAGCATCGGAGGCGAAAGCAGGTGTGACGGAGAGAGCTCCGAGGGCGGCCAACTTGCCGCAGATGGACAGTCAAGGGGGGATGCATGCGCCGTTCCCGCAGCCGTACTTTAAGGATGCCTGGAAGCAGGCCTCGGAAGGATTTTGGTTTCGACCATGTCGTGAGCGCGGATCTGATTATGCGCACGGCCTTGGTTGCATCAACAAG